TTTGTGTGTGAACGTTCATGGGTGTGTGTGTGTGTGTGTGTGTGTGTGTGTGTGTGTGTGTGTGGTTTGTTGTTGTTACAGACCACATTTCCCTGCATTTGACATGTCCTGAATTACATGTTAGCATTGTTTGTTTGTAAGTTGCTGACTGCTGGGTTTTCTTCTATTCTTTTAAATAGTGTTGCACTTTTCCCGGCAGGCAGTTAAGTTATTAGAGATGGACTCTGTCCTTTTAAGGTATCGTTTAAATGGTTTGGGGGTGGGTCTACAGTATATTCAGGAGCTAATTTAGCTACAGTTCCATTATGTGACCTTCTCTGGTCACTTGAGTGCCCAAGTGCTGGTTACATTTAATTAAGGCTTTCCCAGTGTTGGGAATACACTGATGGAGAGGATGGAAAAAGTCTTGGCTCCAGGTGAGCATGAAGAATTTAGTCAGGAACCTCCCAGGTCTTGCTCTTTCCTTAGAAGTAGTCATTGTCTCTGTCATATGGTTTTACCTTTTTGTGTACAAGTAAGTATGTAGTAGAGTTTCGGGGTTCAGTTCTGTGTAGACCTTCTCAGGCACACGGCTCACCCAATACTACCCAACGTGAGCCTCCCTCCCAAATTCTGATCTGTATAAGAACTAGATGCCGCTTAGGTTCCCCTGCTGTTCTGTAGTCTGGGAATGACTTTAGGCAGAAGCCCTAGACAAGTGGTAGGTCTCACTTCATTCTTATTTATTTACTTACTTACAGTCAGGCAGTTTTTGGTGTTTGGAAATAGATTTTATCAAGTTGTTATGTGGTGTGGGAGTTTAGCTCTCATGGCCGAAAGGATTTTTTTAAAATTACTTTTACTAATTATTAGCATTTTAACTAGCATTTAATAAGTATTAATATTTTTGATAAATATTATTACTTAACAGCTATGATTTGATTGTTATTAATTCTTTTTGTACTTTAACATGCATGCAGATGACCATGGAGGCCAGAAGAGGGCGTTGAATCGCCTAGAATTTGAGTTATGGGTGGTCATGAAGCTACCCAATGTGGTTCTGGGAACCCACCTCCGGTCCTCTGGAAAAGCCACAACTGCTTTTAACCACCGAGCCATCTCTCCAGCCACCAGATCTTTCTTTCTGAGACAAGACCTCACTGTGTTGCCCAGGCGGGATTTCATCTCCTAGACTCAGGCAATTTTCCTGGTCAACCTCCTGATTAAGCAGGCAGTAGGGACATGGCAATGTCCAGACCTCTGAATGTTCTCATGGTGTCTGAGAGATCTAGCAAGGCCCCCTGGATCAGTTAGTTTTCACATCAGGCAGGTCTTATATACCCACCTAGCAACCTCGGACCTGGCTGGCGGTGGAATAAACCTCACAAAGCTGCTTCCTTTGTCCCCTACAGTGGTTGTCTCCATCAGAGGCAACTGAGCGTTTCCTGTCCAAAGAAATCTGGCTGGCACCACCGCAGTTCTATGAAATGAGAAGACTTGAAACTTTCGACTCTCTCTCCGCTCTGTACAGATTTTCTTCAGATCACCCTTTAGAAATAACCGAGAAATGGCTGCCGATAGTACTTTTAACTGCTGATGGCTCCATCAATCTTCTCCCAGGTGAGTTGGGGAAGTACCAGTGCTCTGGTTAGTATTCACCTTAAGATTGTCAGACCAGCCCATATCAAAACATCAAAAGTGTTGTTATTAAGGCCAACATTAATGTTAATATTTAATAGGCTAAAGAGAGCATGAGGTAATCCAAGACTTACACTGTTTGGCTGGGATGTGACTTGGTGGAGCACTTGCCTAGCTTGCATCAAGTCCTCAGTTTTAATTCTCAGTGCTGCTGAAATAGATGATAAAATAATTATAGTTCACAACAGAAGCACTGTAGTCATCCATTATGATGTGCCCAAAGAAAATGCTTGTCTTGGGGTAGACATAAGTAGGGATATTAAAATCCAACCAAGAGGGCTAGAGAGCTGGCTAAGTCAGTAGAATGTTGGCCTTGCAGGTGTGAGGGCCTAAGTTTGGGTCCCCTGAACCGGGCCAAAGAGCCAGGCATGGTGATGCCAGGCACCTGCAATCCCGGCATTGTGATGGCGCAGGGGGAGGCAGAGCCAGGCGGAGCCTTGGAAGTTCATAGGCCAGCCTGGCCTAATTGGTGACATCCCAGGCCTTAAGAAACCCCATCTGGAACAAAGGTGGAAAGTTCTGGAGGAACAACCCCTGAGGTTGTCCTCTGGCCTCCATGAGTAATCGCCTCTGTAGTCACGCACACACACTTGGTGGAGGGAGAGACCTAACTCTAGCAGGCTGGTCCCTGACCTCTGCCTGTACACACACACACACACACACACACACACACACACACACACACACACACCTCTCCCTTTCCCCTCCTCTCTCAAATGTAATCAAAACTTGAAACAGGATGAGAAAGAGTCTGAGTGGTCGGAGGCTGTACTGCTCCTCTCTCAGAGGATCTGGGCTTGGTTCCTAGTACCCATGCCAGGCAGTACACATACATGCATATGCATACCGTGGATTAATAATACATTTAAAAATAAATTAAAAGTAGCAACAAGAAAAACACCAACTAAGCTTCAACAAGAAATACATAACAAAAAATACTGATTTATGTTGGGGTGATTTATAAAACAATGCTTTGCAGAAACAAATTTTTACTATTTTTCAGGAGATGAGCTGTATGTGAAAGACTCAGATTTCTTAGAAAAACCAATGTCTACTGACAAAAAGACTGAAGAACTCGTGAAGGAAGGCAAAGTGGTTAACCGAATGGTGATCCACAGTCTCTACCACTATGAACTCTATGTGTCTCTGCTGTCCAAGGATAAGCTCGTGTACCCTAAGAACTACGTAGTGAATAAGAGCCTGCCTGCCCACTTGTGAGGTGCTCCACTTGTGGGGATCGACTGATCGTGTCTGAAATACAAGGACTGTGCCTGTAAAGTTGTGTCTGCCCTGTTCCCTGTGTTGTGTGCGTTTGCTGCCTGTCTTCAGACTGCACAACAAGCCCCGAGGGTACAATGTATGAAGTGTTAAGGACCTGGTTACTGGATAAACGGCTTCACAATGGTTGTCTCTTCTGTGTTTTATTAGCTTGAACATTTAAAAAGGGGTGTCCTGCCGTCCTCCAACTGCCCCACGGGTTAGCAGGTTTCCTGACTGCGGTGGAGATGGAGCCCCGGATCTCTTAGGCTTTCATCAGGAATTAATTCGGGGTACCTGATTAGATGGTGTTAAGTTTGAATGTGGCATTTCCTCCACGTGGTCCCGAGCTGGTAGCACTGTTTTGGCAGGTTGTGAAAACTGAGGGGCAGGCTCTAACTAGAAAAAGTGGGTTGCTGGCGTGGGTGGGTCTTGAGGGATTGAGTCCCACCTCTGTTCCAGCAGAATTCTGTTTTCTGATCGGAGGAGATCTGAGCAGGCTGCATCAGGTTTCCGCCTCTGTGAATACCACATTATCTTCAGCACCGTGAAATTGGCTGAACTAAACCCCAACTCTGTGTGGTCTCTGCGAGGCATTTGATCATAGCAAATAAACAGCGATTGGGGCATCCTTCAAGAGTGATGCCATGTCCTTGCCAGGTATCTAACTTGATAATTAACATACATGGCCCACACCTTTAATCCCAGCACTCGAGAAGCAGAGGCAGGTGGATCTCTGTGTTCAAGGCCAGCCTGGTCTACAGAATGAGTTCCAGGGCAGCCAGGGCTGTTACACAGAGAAACCCTGTTTCAAAACAAAGGCGGGAAAACACAATATTTGGTTTAAAACCAAAGAGCATTCATTTTGACATCTACATTTTATTTTTTATTACACTTTTTTACATGCTCTTGCATATGCACACACACATACACACACACACACACATACACACACACACACACACCCACGAGTGTATGCCCTGAGCAGTGTGGAGGGGAGAGAACAAGTTACAGGAGTCTGTTCTTTCCTGCTGCATGTTGGTCTGGTCTGTGGAGCTCAGGTCACCAGCTTCGTTTGGCATACTCTGCTTGCCAAGCCAGCTTGCTGATCGCACGCTTCCCACATTTTGAAGACTTAGGAACCAGCAAGAGCAGGCTGATGAGACGGCTCAGCAGGTAAAGGCACCGAGCGCACGTGCCCGGTGACCTGATTTTGATCCCCAGATCCCATGTAAAGGTGTGAAGAGAGGGCCTGCTTTTCAGAGTTGTCCTCCAACTCCACACATGTGCCATCGCATGTGTGCCCTCACATGTGTACACAGACACACACCAGAAAACTCATCACCCTTTGTGCACATAGGAAATAGTTAATGAATGTAAAAAGGTTAGAAAGAGAATGTTAAATTCACAGGGGTTTAATGTGTTTGATGTGGGTGATTTCTTTTTGACTTCGTTAAAGACAAATAATCTATTGACTAATGGTGAGAAATGATAGTTAAGGCACAATCTGTTTTGTTTGCTTTGTTTAAGACAGGGTCTCTACACAGCTCTGGCAGTCCTGGAACCCACTGTAGACCGATGGCTTCAAGCTGACAACAGATATGCCGACTTTTGCCTTCTGAGCGTTCCGATCAAAGGTGTGCACCACCACACCTGGCGGGACACTAATTCTGTTTGTAGATCTTTGTGTTATGTTTTGAAGTGGATTTCACTTTTCACGAAATGTCTTGATTTACCTGCTAACACAATAAAGTCAATAATAAGTAAAGCCATGCATATTCCTAAGGGTGCGTGCCTGCGTGCGTGCGTGCGTGCGTGCGTGCGTGCATATGTGTGTGTGTGTGTGTGTGTGTGTGTCTGTCTGTCTGTCTGTCTGCATGCATGCATGAGCTTATGTGCACCACATGGAGGCCAGAAGAGAGTAGTGGATCCCCTGGAACTGGAGTTACTGATGCAGGCAGCCAAACCCAAGTCCTCTTTAATACTCTTGATGGCTAAACCATCTCTCCAGCCCTTGGAAGCTGTGTGTTACTTAACCCCCATTAGAGGAGTAAGAGAGAGCAGCGGTTCTTAGCTTGTTTCACGTCTTAGCTTGTTCAAGCTGTCTGGAAATGTTTTCAGTTGTCGCAACTGAGGAGATGATTATAGTGCCACCTAGTGGAGAGACAGCATAGGTACAGGAAGATGGCCTGCAGTGTACAGGAATTAAGTTACCAGACCTGGAGTAAAATCTCATCAGGCTTGGTGGTACAGATCCCTGATCCTAGCTACTCAGAAGGCTGTGACAGGAGAATCAAAAGTTCAGGGTCTGCCTAGGTTACAAAGTGAGTTCAAGACCAACTTTGACAACCTTGTGACCCTGCCTCAAAAATTTAAAAGAAGCCTTTCCACGCTACTCGGGGACGGGTCCGCACGGCGTTGTTCTTGATTCCCGTCGTAACTTAAAGGGAAACTTACACAATGTCCGGAGCCCTTGACGTCCTGCAGATGAAGGAGGAGGATGTCCTCAAATTCCTTGCTGCAGGAACCCACTTAGGTGGCACCAACCTTGACTTTCAGATGGAGCAGTACATCTACAAAAGGAAAAGTGATGGAATCTACATCATAAACCTGAAGAGGACCCGGGAGAAGCTGCTGCTTGCAGCCCAGTGCTGTTATTGCCATTGAGAACCCTGCTGATGTCAGCGTCATCTCCTCCAGGAACACCGGGCAGCGAGCTGTGCTGAAGTTTGCTACCGCCACTGGAGCCACTCCGATTGCTGACCGCTTCACCCCTGGGACCTTCACTAACCAGATCCAAGCAGCCTTCAGGGAGCCACGCCTTCTAGTGGTGACTGATCCCAGAGCTGCCCACCAGCCCCTCACAGAGGCGTCTTATGTTAACCTGCCCACCATTGCCCTGTGTAACAGACTCTCCTCTGTGCTATGTGGACATTGCCATCCCATGCAACAATAAGGGAGCTCACTCAGTGGGTCTGATGTGGTGGATGCTGGCCCGGGAAGTACTCCGCATGCGTGGCACTATCTCCCGTGAGCACCCATGGGAAGTTATGCCTGATCTTTACTTCTACAGAGACCCAGAGGAGATTGAGAAGGAGGAACAGGCCGCTGCTGAGAAGGCTGTGACCAAGGAGGAATTCCAGGGCGAATGGACTGCACCAGCTCCTGAGTTCACTGCTGCTCAGCCAGAGGTGGCAGACTGGTCCGAGGGTGTGCAGGTGCCCTCTGTACCCATCCAGCAGTTCCCTACTGAAGGCTGGAGTGCCCAGCCTGCCACTGAGGACTGGTCAGCAGCTCCCACAGCGCAGGCCACCGAGTGGTTTGGAGCCACCACTGAGTGGTCCTGAGCTCCTCTGCAGACGCCTGAGCAAAGGGAAAAAGGTGGAAGGAAAATTAAGTTCCTACAAGCTGTCAAAAAAAATTTAAAAGGCTGAGGCAGGTACTTGCCTAGCGTGTGCAGAGCTGTAACTTTATTTTTTTATTTATTTGTTTTTTTCAAGACAAGGTTTTACTGTGCAGCCCTGGCTGTCCAGGAACTCACTCTGTAGGGCAGTCTGGCCATTTTAACTGTTTGTGCATACGCGTCCCTATTGGTATATGTGCATGTGAGTGGGGTCCCCACAGACCCAGAAGAGGGTGTTGGATTCCCTGCTGGAGTTTTTGGAGGTTGTGAGCCACTGCATGTGGGTGCTGGGAACTGAATTCAGGTCCCATGGAAGCACTGCTGAACCATTTCCCTGGCCCAGAATCTATTTTTTTAAGTAAATGGTTCCAATATGTAAATTTGAGATCCATAGATAATAATATTCTCTGTGGCTTCTCAATCTACAAAAATTCCTAATGATTGTTGGCCTTGAGCATAGTGTTCATGAAGGGAGCAGGCAGAAGCACCTTGGCCTGAGTACTGCCCTTTGGACTTCAGACTCCATTTTACCTGTAAGGTGAAATAAAGTTCAGGTTCCCAAGCCCTAGGGCAGGGCTGAGAACCTTCCAATGGCTGACCAACCTCCTCCCTAAAGCATAGCAATAGCCATTATTCATCTTTAGTTCTCTAGAAGCCTCATGGCTATTCCTAACCACAGAAGGATTGATTGGCTGGACTGAAAGTCTTGCATTGTATATTGATTGACAATGATGGAAAATTCAAGGAAGCCCCTAATCTTTAAATCCTGATCGGTGAAAATTATAACTGATTTGGCAACAAATGTTTGTAGATTTTATGCTTATAAACCCCACTTCTGCCCCTACTCAGGGCTGTCAGGAGAAACGAGGCTCCCAAGTCCTTGTCCTGCAGCCCTGATGGATCAGGGACCTGCTTAGATGGTGAATTATTAAGATCTTTGGAACCCATAAGTGTTTCCTTCCTTATGGCGCATAACGGGCTAGGTGTAACAGTTCATTCTCGCAGAGCGTTACTGCTGGGAGGGACCTCGGGAATGGCATCATTCTGTCAGCGAGGAACTTGAGAAACAGATGCACGCAGCGAGTTTCCACCCTAGCTAGGAAGAGAACTCGGATAGTAGCCCTGAGAAAAGGGTTGTAAGAGAAAGCCTGACAGTCACTGCCTGAGGTAAACTCTTATCTGCTTTTATAACCCGGAAAGAATTCAAGACTTGAGACCTTGCTTTGGCCAGAGAATCGCTGATTGTATGTGTATCTGAACTGGAAACTTCAGAGACCGGGGAGAACTAAGAACAATGAGAGAAGGTGGGAGAAGGGACAGAGAGGAGCTAAGTGTGGGAACAGAAAAGAAGCTGTGTGGAGAGATTTGACTTAGAAGAGTAAAGTGAATGGACTAAGAGCTCAGTGTGCTTAGATTCTTTCGATGTCCCTGAGTTTAGATCCTCAGCTGATTCTTCCATGGACCCTGGGAAAGGGCTGTAGGGGCTGGACCCCAGTAGCTCTTGTTAGTGCCACACCAAGCTGGGTCTCATTGATCTCTCTTAGCTTCGCCCTGGTGGATTCTAGGGAGGTGCCCTACCACTGAGCTATATCACCAGCCCCTTTTTACTTTTTCTTTATACAATTTTTTGAGAAAATGTCTCCTTTTGTAGCCCTGGCTGGTCCTGAACTTACTATGTAGACCAAGCTGGCCTTGAACTCACTAAAGGAATGCACCATCAGGCTCAACAACAACAAAAAGTTTG